GGGGTCCCCCAGTGGTGGCCAATCGCCAAGCCAGCAGCAAAAATGGAAGTGCACTTCCAGTTTCATGGTTGGTGCTTCCAGGTGGTGCACGGCCAATCTCAGGGGGTACACGTGCACCCACGTGCAACCCCTATGTGTTGCCAATGCCTCACACAGCGCTAAGCAGCTCTCGCTAAGTAGCGAGAGACTGCAGAGATGCCTTGGTGCCAAAAGAAGTGGAAATAAAGTAGAGCTTTGAGGGGCAGTTGGCACTGGATGGAGAACTTCAGCTCACTTCACATACTGCTCACCAAACAGATATGATACAATAATGACTTTCAGTTAGTTTTACCATGGGCTATATTTGAATTGGAAGTATATCATGTGTTATCAATACCTTGAGCTGTCCAGAGCCCAATTCTGATACTTTATGTGCCAAATACTATGTGCCAAGCACTTAACTGCAGGCTGATTAAAACTAAGTCAACTAATGAGAGAGATTAACAAGGATTAGGCAAATTAAGGAAAGGTTTTTATACAAAAGCTAAAATCAGCAGGCTGAGGAATGGAGTTAGAAAACCTAAGTATTCTGCCCAGTCGTGTTACTGGTTTGCAGAATGACCCTGAGCAGGATATTTCTTTGAAAATTGGAAATAGCAATGAATATTCTTTCTTTTTTTTTTTTTGTATTTTCAGACTGAAGAATAACAATCATAAGGTAAATGCTAAGCTTTACTGCTAATTACAATTTTAAGAATACTTTACTGGTGTTATTCCATGCAATAAGTGTACAAAATAGACATAGTGCACCTACCTTCTTGAAGCTGTATTGGTTCTGCTGAATTTTCACCACTCATTAAGACAACAAAACCTGTAGCTGCTCGGACTGTAGCTTGCCAGGTTGACATGGCAACCGGTGGTTCCTGGCATGGAAAAAGAGCTCTGTTGTTCAGTGGCGATCCCATTGTATAAACACAAGGCCTATAAAGAGAAGAAAAAGGTAAAGAATTTAATCTTTTTTTCTTATTGTGGAATTTGCAATAGTAAGAGGTGAGTAGAGTTTTCTATTACAAAGAGAAATTCAAACCTGCTAACTGGTTTTCAAAATCTCAGGTTTCAGTCTAAGACAGTGGTGCTCAATCTTTTCCACCCATGGGCCAGAGGGACAGTGTCCCATCCCTCCGTGAGCCAGATCTAGCTGTTGGTTCCCCTCCAGCACCCATGGGGGGCATAGCAAGGGGGTTAGGAGGCAGGTGGCAGCTGTCCCCAAGCCAGCCCTGCAGAGGAAGGGGGTATGGCTTGGCCCCACAGGGGAAAGGGGATGTGGCCTGGTCCCAACCTGGCCCCATGAGGGGAAGGGGACATGGCCCAGCCCCAGTGTGGCCCTACAGGGGAATGGGGGGAAAGGAGGAGGGGGAAAATGAGGTGGCAGAAAAGGAGGTGTGGCCTGGTCCCATGGAGGGGCAGGGGGCATAGCTCAGCTCCAATGCAGCCCCATGGGGGAGAAAGGGCATGGCCCAGCCCTGATCCAAATGTGGAGAGGGGGGTACAGCGTGACCCCACAGGTCTATGGGGACACAGTCTGGCTCTGACAGGCTGTGTAGAGGTTGCGGTTTTTGAATTTGGAAGGGCAGGGACAGTGGTCATATTAATGGCTATTGCTCTCCCACCAGCAAATCTTCCATCCCAGGGGGAGTTCTATGGGCCAGATGCAAGGCTCTGCAGACTACATTTGGCCCAAGGGCTGGATGTTGAGCACCCCTGGTCTAAGATAACATGAATGGATCAGCTAAAATGCCATCTTTTGCTACCTTTGGTATAGATATTCCCACCTTTGCTATATCCTTGATTCTGTGGACCCAGACAGTTCTCCCATTACAGAAAATCATGATACCAAATGACCAAATATTACCATTTTAAAGCATCACAAATTGATTAAGTTTGCCAAAGTTACCAGTGTCTCATGGTCACTGGTATTTTTAAAACCCACACTCCTGAAATTAAGTGATCAACTAAAAACAGTAAATTTATAGACCCTCTTCCCTGTTCCACAAAAGACCTTGAAAATGTCACTTGCTTGCTCCTAGAGACTTCTCACAAAAGAACAAACAAGTCACTTTTTAAAACCTCATGATTTTTAAAGCCAGTCTCATAGATTTTGGAGACTGGCAATATTAGGAATGCTTGGGGTTGGCAGTACACAAGTAAATTTTGTGCGTGCACACATACACACACATGCTATATGTGTGTGTGTACATATATATATGCATATGTGTATGTGTGTATATATATATATATATATATGTATGCATGTATACACACATATATATGTATATTTGTATATGCATGTGCATATATGTATGTATATATATGTAGTACATATATGTATGTTGTGGTTTGGGGGAAAAAAAAGTCATGAAGACAGCAATTAGGTTTTAGTGGCTAAGATCTATAGAAGCGTTGAGCTTCTCCTATGAAGTTCCTTAATATGCTGAATTTATTCACTGAATCCTTTCACTAAGGCCGAACCCTTGCTGTAGAGCAGGAATAAACTGGAAGATTTCAACTGCATAACAGTACAGAGGAAAGATTTCTTGAGGCTGTATCAAACATTTATGTCAAATGCGTCAACCTTTCTTCTGGAAAGACAGAAAAAGTCTACTGAATCCTGAATTAGTGAGGACATGTTTAACCCAATAACTGACTTTGCCTACAGGTGGCACTACACCCTTATACACCCTATATCTGAAAGCAGAAATAGTATAATCAACACTAACATGGTTCTGTGCTGAGGCTAATTAAGTCAGCCTCTCTAACCCACCCAGAATAATGCAATAAGGCAGTTATGCAGCTTTTGATTTGCAAGGTAGTGTGCATGCAATATTGTGGCACGTTTCAGCATTGCTCGGAATCTTCTAAAATGTGACCTCTTGACAACCAGACATCCACTAGAAATATATGTGTCTAAAATATATATATGTCAGAAAAAGGAACAGTGCACAGCACAACCCCTTCCCAGAGAGCATTTTAGTTGCCAGAAGAAGGTGTGAAGGAATGGCAGGCACTCATTCCCTTTAAGGTACCCTTTCTTTCCCAAAAGAGTAGAAAAGAAATAGTAGACTAACTAGTTATCCTAGGGCCACGGTTAGGATATCTAAATTCCAGGATCTAGGAGATTATGACTATCAGCCTATTCTCGCAATATACAGAGCAACATAATTTCACAGGATCCTAGGAAAGTAGGGACAGAAAAGACCTTGAGGCTAGAGACTGACATTCAAAAAGCCTGACCCTGAATTGATTCAATCTTTGCAGGTTAGTTTAATCTGGCTAGGCTGAAGTGGTTTGTAACTGGACAGACATTCTCTCTGGACTCAGGAACTTCAAGCACATGCCTGCAGTGGCTCAGGCTAGAAGCCGGGGGTGCTAGAGCAGCCCTCCCTTCCTTTACACAAAGCTGCGCTGGGGGTGGTGCATGGCCAGGCTCCGGCAGGATCTCTGATTAGGGAGGTCTGCTTGCACCATCCCAGGCATTTCCACGCTGGCTGCTCAAGGGGCAGAAGTGTTGCCAGACTCCAGACCCCTGCTAGCACTCTGAGGCATGCGGGGTGTGCAGTGCATGCATCTGTTGATGATACGGAGCTTCTCTATCTCCCTCCATGCTTCTTTATACTGTCCATAGCAAACTTTACACTGTCTGCAGCAAGCCAGCAGGGGGCTGATAACCAGGGATGTGGATTTTCCATTTCCCACGGAAAAACAGAGACAACCATGGATTCCCCGTTTTTAATCAGAGAAAATGCGGATTTCCCCTTTTAGCAGAGAAATCCATGGATTCTCCATTTTTGCAAAGAGCTCTTACAGGCTGGCACAGTTCCAGCCTGCGAGAGCTAACTGCAGAAAGGGCAGGAAACCCTTAGCCCTGCCTGGAGGGGAAGGGAGAGGGGGAATGGCAGGGCCTGAGCCTCTGAGCGAGCCAAGGCTGGGCTCAGGCTCAGACTCGCCTTTTGTCCCTGGAGCCTGGAGGTAAGTGGGGCTTGGAGGTTGGGGGTGGGGGGAAGGTGGCTGGGGGCAGAGGGGGCACGCTGCAGTGCCTCCCTGGCCCCCACGTCAGTCCGCTCCCAGCAGCAGGGCCAGGGGTGAGAGCAGGGGTGCCCCTGTGGGCCACACATGTGCCAGCCAGTTGGGCGGGTTCGCACACAGTGGCCACCACAGCAACTCTGCTGCCGCGCCCCATGCTGCCTTCCCACAGCTGGCCACACGGCTTTGCGGGCAAGTGGCGCAGGGCGTGGCAGCAGCGGTGCAGTGGTGCCCGCTGCATGCGGGCACCACACATGCCAGCTGGCCAGCAGGGGCGGGAGAGGGTGGCTCACATGTGACGGCGGCTCACATGTGACGGCCACCACCACACCACCGCTGCTACCCCATAGCCGGCCGCACAGCTCTGTGGGCATGGCTCCCAAGCGGGAAAG